CTAGAGGGGAAAGTAATGGATGTGAGCAGGTGGACCTCAGCAGTTTGTTAATATGTCAGGCATAAGGCGCATCTCCACACCTTTGCAAAATGAATGAAGAGAAATCAGACAAAGTGCTGAATGTTAATGTTCTCAAAACTCTCAGCTAATGCTTAACCCCAGCAGTAAACTAGCATAGTTCAACAACAAATAACTAGGACCTTTCTAAGACAAACTCTCATTGGGCAAAATTTTTCTATTCTAGTCTTAGTTGTGGATATTCTGAAAATGCATATCGTTATTCATCTACCAGATCATAAAAGAAGAAATTCAGTAATAAAGAGAATGAACCAACAGCTCTGGAGTTGCTTTTTTTCTAGGATCATGTATTTATAGCCATATTAGCTCTGTTTTCCAAAATGTTTCTATGGAATACCGATGCTCTTTATAAAAACCTAATCATGCAAGAAATCAAAGCACCTGTGCCACCCAAGTTTCAGTCTTTTCAATATGTGTAGATTTTGACCAAAAAAATTAGCTTAGCATTCTTTTCAGAAACAACGGTTCCCGCGACAGCCATGAACACCGCGCAGTTATACGTTGATTACTGCCATCTCCGCAACTACGCATTTCCGTTTGATGGGTGTGGTTTCCATCATAACCCAGCTTCTAAACCCAAAACTGGATGACATAAGTTTCAGGAAGGCAACCTGCCTCCTTTGGTACACCAGGCATTGAGTCTGGCATGTGAACAAACTGAGTTTTCCCATTCAAGATTGAATCAGAGAAAAAAGTAAGGCCTATGAGAAACACAACCTATTCAGTCTCTAGCTAAACAGAAAGAGCTGAGTCCGGTGCAGCTGCGTGCCAGGTTACAATCCTCTGCTTGTCAAGCTGGCATCCTACATTGGCACCAGCTCATGTCCCGGTTGCTCCACTGCGGTCCGACTCCCTGCTCGTGGTCTGGGAAGGCAGCAAAGGATGGGTCAAGGCCCGGGGCCCCTGAAGCCCCATGGGAGACCCAGAATAAGTCCTGTGTCCTGGCTTTAGATTGGCTCAGCCCTGGCCTTTGCAGCCATCTGGGGAAAGAACCGGCAGATGGAAGATTTCTCTCTGCCTCACCTTCTCTCTGTATAATTCTGCCTTTCAAATGAAAATACATTTACATTAAAAAAAAAAAACAGAACAGGCAAGAAGAGTGCTCTCTCGTCACGTCAGACAGAAATTAATAGCAATTAATCTTCAAAACTTTTAGTTATCATACTTCCCCACCAAGTCAAACTTCATGTTCCCCTAAAATCATTTCAAGTTGATATCTAATATTTGTCACCACAGCAGCTTTAAAGAAATAAGAAATTCATTTTTCATACTAATTGTAAATCTAAAAATCTTAAAATGTGTTACTCTGCTTCTTTTAATGTATTAGGTAGAATACAAAAACATATTAATTTGACTCCCAACATCATTTATGTAAAAATAAAGTTGAAGGTAGGCATTGGCGCAGTGGGTTAAGTGCCCATGTAGCAGGTAAACAGCCCATGCCAGAGCTCCTGTGACCAAAGTTCTGCTTCTGCTTCCTGCTAACGCACCTGGCAGGCATTAGCACCTGATGCTCCAGGTGCTTGAGTGCCAGCCAATCACAGAAGAGGTGGCCGATGGCTCCCAGCTCTCGGCTCCCAGCTGGCTACCATGGACATCTGGGGGTGATGGATAGATGCAACAGCTCGCTCCCTCTCCTTTTCTTACTCTTTCTCTATCTGCAACTCTTCCAAATAAATCTGTTTTTTTTTTAAGTGTTCCCCAACAGTCAGAGCTTGTTGGTGATTCTTCTTCCTTCTTGAAATCATATTCATACATGGATTTCTCCCCAAAGTTTCCGGATCATAACCATAATGTTATGTATGAGGAACTGTTAATATTTACTTCTCAGCTTTCTTGACTACAAAATAAAATTTTCAAACTTACTTATCTAAATGTCCTATGATGGGGAGCTTTAATTATGAAATATTCTACTGGACTATACAGTAACCATATGTATTAATTCTCTGTGATCAAAAACAGCACAGTTAACTTCCAATCTTAATGCAACAAACACAAAAGGCAACATTCCACTGGGCTGGCATGGTGGCAAAAGAGGCTAATTCTCCTCCTAAGGTGCCAGCATCCCGCATGGCTACTGATGCGTGTCCCAGCTGCTCCACTTCAAAATCCAGCTCCCTGTTTATGGCCTGGGAAAGCAGCAGAGGAAGGCCCAAAGCCTTAGGCCCCTGCACCCAGGTGGGAGACCCAGAAGGTGCTCCTGACTCCTGGTTTCAGATCTGCTCAGCTCTGGCCATTGTAGCCATCTGGGGAGTAGAGCAGTGGTTGAAAGGTCTCTCCTTTCTCTGTGTAACTCTGACTTTTCAAGCAAAATTTAAAAAATGTGGTTTTTTTTTTCTTTCCTTAAAGTAAAATTCTGTGAATATATCTTCCTGAAATGAGGGTTTATGGTGCTTTAATAAAGAAGGCTTTGCTGAAATCAGTACTTCATTCGGTGGTCAGGTGAGCTTTACACCTGGAGAAGGCCCTCAGTGAGACCCCAGACACTAAGAGACATGTGTTTCTGTGCTAAGATGGCAAGAGGGCTACTGTGAAGAAGAGGTGGGCAAGAAGACAAGGCTCAACATTTCAACTGTAGATGAGGTCTTAGTGTCAGAAAGACCAGGACTCAGATGCTGAGCATCCGGGAAGCCCTACCTTTAAACCTGTCCTAGCCCAAGCTTGTGATGTCTTCATGAATCCCTGGGGGAATAACATACAACCCAGGATGAAGACCGTGGTGTGCACTTGGAAATACCACTTGGTATTGTTTTGTTCTTTTGAACAAACTAGAAAGCAGTACAGTAAGCAGAAAGAGTCCTAAATGAAGAGTAAAATCTATAACCCTTTACTGAATATTTATTATGTACTAGGAAATGTGGTAGGCACGTTACATCCCTTTTGCCTTTGAGCACTGAAAAACTCCAGAAGGTGGAGACTTTTCCTGTTCCCACTTCGCAGATGGGGATAACAAGGCTGAGAAATCAAGAGCACACAGCCAGTAGGAGGCAAAGCCAGGATCTGCACTGACGCCTGCTTCACACCAGGGCACCTTCTTGGAAGGGCAGAGATGGAGACAGGGAGAGCTGCCGCACTGCCGCACTGCCCAGATGCCCACGACAGCCTGGGCCAGGCCAGTGTGAATCCCAGAGCTGTGGATTCTACCCACGTCTCCCCCTCGGCACGTGGGAACCAACGTCTTGAGCCTTCACCTGCTTCCTTTCAGGGTACGCACCTGCAGGAAACTGAAATACAGCATGGGGTCCAGAAACAAACTCTGGCACTCCACTGCAGGATCTGAGGGTCACCAAAGCCAGCACTCAAGGCTCCTATTTTTAATCACATTAGAAATTGCAGAATCTCCTGGTTCATCTGCATTCTGGAATGTTCTTAGTCTCACACACCACACTGACCCAGGGTCAGTCTGTCTGCAAGAATGCGTGGCTGAAGAGGCGTCTTCCCACGTGATCCTAAGGGAGGAGCCTGCTCCAATGGAACCCTTCAGAGCTGCTCCCTTCAGTGAACCCCGGGCAGGAATTTCACAGGATTTCCTGCCTGACAGAGAGTCCTGGCAGCTGGCGATGCAGGCAGCGTGCCCACGCTCTGCAGGTGAGCTCATGAGCCCCGCCACGTCTCCGGGTCCAGATGGAGCTCAGGTTCAGAACGCTGGGGGGGCTGGGGGGACGAGTCCGAAGCACTGGGGAAATAAACGTAGGCAGATTGAGTTGCTTACTAGGAGAATAAGAGGACTGAGACCCTCTTGAGGGGGTCAGGGAGGTAGTTTTGAGACAGCTAAGTATGAATGCATGTAATTATCATCTTTCCCTAACAACAAAAATGGTAACACTCCTTTCATCAAAAAGTCATCCATAAGAAATCAACAGACCATATAAAACCTACTGTGCTAGGGGAAAAAAAAAAAAAAGATTCCAGGAAGTGCTCTTAAATTGTGATTCGCTACATTGGGGAAACAGTTTTCTCTGAAGAGCTATGACCAGGCAGCTCCCTGGGGCTGGCTGCCAAGGCCTGCCCGGCACCAGCACAGCCACAGGTCACCTCCACCCTTCAGCGCTCCGCGCGGGCCAGCTGCCAGGTTCCCTGATCCCAGGCAACAGGAGTCAGTCTGTCCACCTGAGACCTCCTTTCAACTCCAGATTGCACAGCACGTGAGAGCAGATGCCAGAAGCCGGAAGTTCAGGAACAGCCCTGTGACTCCAGACACTGAGAATGTGGAGAGAGAAACCAAAGGGGGAGGAGGAGGGACCCCAAATGGACCCTACAAAGACTCGCAGAAGACAAAGACAAAACCAGAGAAGAACAGAGACATCTGAACACAGCAGCAAGTCACAACCTGTAAGAAAGAAGAGAAGAGAAAGGGAGAGAGAAAACAAAAAAGGAAAAAGGATGGGAAGAAGCAGAAATATAGGCACAAAGTTCTTAGTGGGAAATATTCTGGAAATGTCTTATTCAAAAACAGTGACCTTATCAGTAACCTGAAAATGTCCCAATCTTCTTAGCATTAAAAAAGCGTGTAAAATATAGTCACAGCTTTCAAATGTATCTTTTGTTTGTATATTTTTTTACTAAAATAAAATTTAAAGTATCGCTGAGTATCTCACGTCTTCTAAGTGAGTCTTTTTCTCCAGTTGTGGAAAAGAGAAAATAACATACGAATGTCTATAACCTATGAGTACTATTTTGGTATTTGAAATGAAAGAGATTGAAATTGTACACAAGGTGAATGTTTGGCCTACTGGTTAAAGTCTCATTAAGGGCCTGGCACAGTAGCCTAGCAGCTAAAGCCCTTGCCTCGCATCCGCTGGGATGCCACACAGGCACTGGTTCGTGTCCCACCTGTTCTACTTCCCATCCAGCTCCCTGCGAGTGGTCTGGGGGAAGCAATAAAGGATGGCCCAAAGCCTTGGGATCCTTCATCCATATGG